GTAGATATATTGGCGCTACCGCATCTTGGGAACTTCCTTCCATCCTCAATAAATCTACAAAAATGTCAGTTGTCAGCCTTGTGTTTTTCTATCATATTATAAAATCTTTAATAAGTATTTCCAATGTAACATTCATCTGTAGATGCATCTGGACATTAATGATTTATCACAAGACTCAGCAAATTGCTTTGAGGATTTTGAGACTCACTTGCCTTATTTTAGGGTATAAAGTGCACTCTTCGATAAAGTCGCTAGGTGGGACCCGAGGATTGTAAAATAGACGTCAACTAAGAGCAAATTAAAGCGGCGGGGAAAACCCGCCGTGAAAACCTCTCTCCCGGCAAAATCCCTCGGCGAATTAATTTGAGTCGCTCACCGAAAAAAAACCTTAACGCCGCTCCACAAGTCTGCGAAGGAGGCCACTGCTAGTCCAGCCATTTTCCTTATTATGGGCCTCGCCTACTTCAGACTTGAATAGGATATCTAGCTGCGGTTTTGAATCGGGCAATGTCGTAATAAATAGTTGCACCTGACCTACACTGACTCTGCTCTTTTGTTGTGTGGATGAACACGACCGAATCGGGAAACACCAACCAATATTACAGTGAACGTTTACACAACAGTTGCGTCTGACCTTTACCTAACACTGATCGCTGATAGATATCTCGATGAAACACGCAAGCACAATAGACGACGTCAGCGGCCCAGTCACTTGAACAGCACCTCACCTACACTGACTCTGTTCTTTTGTTGTGTGGATGAACACGACCGAATCGGGAATGACAAACAATATTACAGTGCGCCTGACCTTTAGCTAACACTGATCACTGAAACACGTAAACAAACAAGACGACGTCAGCGGCCCAGTCACCTGTAGCGGCGCACCTGTCTGTCCCTCCCCCGGACAGGTGTGCTCTGCACGTATTCCAGGTAAATCCAGACGTGAGGTGATCGCAGGTGAGAGCAAAACTCCAGTCCGTTGAGTCACGGCGGGGCCAGGAGCGCATGTGCGATGACGTCACATGCAGGAATATATTTGGTACATGAGAACGGCTTGTTGTTTTGCCCTGTATGTCCGAAATCACCGGTAGTGAATGAAATCTACATTTTCCCACGGTACAGACAGAAACATATAGCAGACCGCAGTTTGCTATTTTGGCCATGACCTTACAGTGTCTACAACAAGAGACATACTTAAACGAATACTACAGACAGTACCTTTTACTACATTTTCCAACGGTACAGATAGAAACATATCGCAGACCGCAGTTTACTATTTTGGCCATGACCTTACAGTGTCTACAACAAGAGACATACTTAGACTAATACAGTAACTACAGACAGTACCTTTTACTACATTTTCCAACGGTACAGATAGAAACATATCGCAGTCCGCAGTTTGCTATTTTGGCCATGACCTTACAGTGTCTACAACAAGAGACATACTTAAACGAATACTACAGACAGTACCTTTTACTACATTTTCCAACGGTACAGATAGAAACTTATCGCAGACCACAGTTTGCTATTTTGGCCATAACCTTACAGTTTCTACAACAAGAGGCATAATGCAACTAATACTACAGACAGTACCTTAAACTACTAACAGCGCATTTAGTATTTTCTCGTCAGGTTTTTACTTTCTGGTTTTCTACTCTCTTCTCGTGAGGCCGTGTGCCATCTTGGTTTCCGGCCTGTTGTCAGTAAATGTTCTGGCGTTTTGACAGTTAATGCTACGTTTGAGTTGAGTTCTTCAATGTGTTAATAAAGAGTTGTACGTGACCGTCATACTGTCTTGTAGCCACTAAGAGATCTGCTTGGAGATTCTTCGCCTCGCCTAGTTCAGACTTATATAGGATCTTCAGCTTCGGTTGAACTAAATTGAGAGATCTGCTTGGAGATTCTTCGCCTCTCCTATTTCAGACTTGAACAGGATGATCAGCTTCGGTTGAACTGAATCGGGCAATGTTTTAATGAACAGCGCCTGACCTACACTGACTCTGTTCTTTTGTTGTGTGGATGAACACGACCGAATCGGGAGTGACAAACAATATTACAGTGCGCCTGACCTTTAGCTAACACTGATCACTGACACTGGAACACGTAAACAAACAAGACGACGTCACCGGCCCAGTCACCTGTAGCGGCGCACCTGTCTGTCCCCCCCGGACAGGTGTGCTCTGCACGTTTTCCAGGTAAACAGGATGCCTCAGTACACGTGATCTCAGGCGCACTGTAATATTGTTTGTCATTCCCGATTCGGTCGTGTTCATCCACACAACAAAAGAGCAGAGTCAGTGTGGATCAGGTGCTGTTCATTAAAACATTGACCGATGTGGCGTCGGGTGGTGTAGTGGTTAGAGCAATCGACTATGAACCGGGGAGACCCGGGTTCGATTCCGAGTCGTACCCGGCACATGTCTGAACATGCGCCCGACGTTGTGCCCTTGGGAAAGGCACTTTACACGACTTTCCTTACTCCACCCAGGTGTGAATGGGTACCTAACTTCGGTTGGGGAAAGTCGTATTGAGGTCACCTTGTGGCGCCGAATGGCAGCCGCACAGACCCTTGCGACAGTTCCACAAAAAATAATTGTGGAACAAATATGTGTTATCATGTGTATTATTTGATTGTTGTAATTGTTGTGATTTGTATTGATTATTATGTGATACCCTGCATCAATTCAGCCGTATAAAGGCTGTGACTGCACGGGTACTGTTTGGACAATAAAAAACATTTATTTTTAGAGCAAAACTCCAGTCTTGAGTCACGGCGGGCCAGGTGCGCATGTTCGATGACGTCACATCAAGAAATATATTAGAGACATAAGAACGGCTAGCTCTTTACTCTTGTGTGGACTTTAAGCGACACAAGAGATTCGATAAAATCTGTCATTATGTCATGCATGGTATGTCTGAAAAGTGATTTCTACAGTTAGTTCGTTAGTCCATCGTAGTTTAGGCCGTTTGAAGTTGCGGCTAGTTCACAAATTGGCCACCGCCATACCTTCGCAATGACGTAGAACAAGGTCAACGTTTAAACTTTGGCTGGCATTTGTAAACACCAATCATTGTTACTTTTCTTTGGGGTAAAACATACTTGACATAGTTGTATATTAGTCGCGTATGTTTCTTGTGTGTGAGGGCAAGGGGAGGGGGGTCTAAATCGTTATCACTTATCAGGTACTTGGTTTAAGCCACAGGCATTTTCCAGATTCGGTCATCCTCGCCTATCGTCACATTAAAGAGCGGATGTCAGTAAAGAAAGGGTAAAATTTACTGTAAGGTGCGTCTTTTGTTGGTTCCCTGAAAAAGATTGTTTGGGTAAATCACCTGATGTGGTAATAAATCCATGAATAAGGATTCAGCCTTTTGTGTTGAAAGGTCTTGTTATTCTTTTCATTGTAATATTGTTTGGTGTTTCCCGATTCGGTCGTGTTCATCCTCACAAAGAAAGTAAAAAGGCACACGCCAATGTAATGATACAGATTAGGTTGGTCTTTCGTCTTTCGTTGGCTATTATAAAGCTCTTCACCCATTTTGTCGTGGATCACGCAAGTCTGTTGGCTTTTTTTATAGACGTACAGGATGTTTGGTCTTTGAAGGTATTTAAGTACTTGAGGACCGCACGCGTCAGTGAGTAAACAGCTCACAGGTGGGCAGCTGGGGTACTACGGCCGAGTGGCATTGACACTGGCAGGCTGTGGTATTTTCGCCAGTTTTCCAACGTCTTGTTTTTTTTTTTATACGCGGTGTTAGAACACACCACCACAAAGGCAGTACCGTGAGCATCTGTGGCACTCTACAGTTGCCCGAAACTGCGCGCAAACTTGAATTCACCAATAGTAAATAAAGGTCAGGCCCTGTAAGTGTAAGTATGTCCGAAATCACTGGTAGTGAATGAAATCTACATTTTCCCGCTGTACAGATATAAAAA